CTCATAGTATTTTCATTATTTTCAAGGGGAGAAGGCAGGGAAAAAGCAGAGCTAGCATCACAAATGGATATATAGACAAAAACTGGAAATGGTCCATCAACCAAAAAGTCTGAAATTAATGGAAGCCAGCTAAAACAGGTTTGTTTTGAGTTCGCACATCATGTTCTTAGGATAATTATTAAATACACCATTCCTGTGCCTGCCTCCAGGCATTATACTTCACTGGTGTGCCATGCTCTTATTATACAGTGGTACCTTGACTCATGAACTTAATCCGTTCCAGGACTCTGGTCATGACCCAAATTGGTCATGAGCCAAGTTAAATTTCCCCATAAGTTTCAATGTAAATAAGGTTAATCCATTCTGTAACTATATTTTTTAAATCAGAAAAATGTGAAGCAAAGTGACAAAAAACAACAAAGTTTGTGACCATCTCCACCCCCCAACCCAAGCACAAGCACAGCCATCTCCCCGCCCCACCAGCCCGACTGCATTCACGCCAATCATCCCTGCACATGCCCGTCATCCCGGCATGCTGTGGGGGAGAGACAGGTGCGATCGTGCTGGGGGGGGGGGGAGATAGCCGAGATCGCGGTTGTGCTTGTGCAGGAAAGACAGATACAATCACGACTATCTCCCCCCCGCCCCCAGCATGATTGTGGCCATCTCCCCACTTGGGGTGGGGAGATGGCCACGATCACAGTCGCCACCGAATGCAGAGTTCGAGACCCGAGTCAAAATTTTTATGAAATTTTGTTCTTCACGAGGCATTCGTGAGCCGAGGTACCACTGTATTTTGAAAACCAATAGTAAGATTTCATCAAGTATGGCACAAAGGACTACTTGATGTGGACAAATGCCATAATTTAATAGGAGTATGGGGCTGTGATAGCAGGAGAAAGAGAAAAGAAGTGCAGCCAATCCATCAGTTCTGCTGATGTCAGCAAAGACAGGGTCCTCCAGTCCTTGAACTGTTGCTGTTCTAGGCAACCATGGCTTAGTACCTCAATTTAGAATTTTTTCCTCCCACTTTCCATCCCTTTTCATTTTGCATTGTATCTTTTAAATCCTGAACCTAAAGGTAAGGAATGTTTATTACGGATTTTTATAAGTCACTCTAGAATACTTTATTGGTTGAAGAGCAGTGTAAAATCCTTCAAATAAAGAAACAAGTAAACAAAAACTGATTAAGTCTTTGGCAGAACTCAAAGCCTGCACATTTTTATAGAATTTTAAATGTCCTTATAAAGGCACTGTCCAGCTATGGATTTTTAATAAATAAATTCATACAATGTATATATCCTCTTTATGCACCATGACAGCTTGTTATGTTCTATCTAGTAACATTTTTTACTGTTCTGTTACTGCAGATCTCTCTCACTCACTTCCCAGGCTTTTTAACAGCTAATGAAAATGCATGCAGGTTGCAAGGCAAGAAAATTTACTCTGAAATTCATTCTCCAGCCCAGCCAAATTTTAATGTTCTTTTCAGAAAGGGCAGGAAACATACCTCATCCAAGCTGAATAATCACAAAACCTTATAAAGCAGGAGACATGCATGTCCAAAGTGCAACTATATCCTGTGCTTAGCAGAAGAGCTGCCTATTGCTACATGCCCAATATTCTAATAAATTGATAAACAAATATGCAAACCAAACAGCAATATGCTTGATGGAACTTGAAGTGTGTAGCAAGCGGTGAACTTAGAAGATCATGGAAACTCATTATTTTTTCCAACAAGTGAAAAAATACTAACACAATGCAAAGAAACATCTCAGTTTGGCCATCACTGTCCCATTCCCACAAACACATCTGTACACTTTGCCTTCCTATCTTTGCTCTGAATTAGAAGAGTCCTAACTGCAAGAGGTAAGAGTAATGGCCTCACTTTACACATTCTGATCCTTTATCTTCACAGCAATTCCTCATCTGTCCGTGCTGTAAATTAAAGGCTGGGAGAACAGCTGGAATAATGTGAATGAAACATTCCCACTCTGTTCACAATGTGCCTCCCAGACTAAACCAGCTACGACCTGAACCGTGATTTAGAGTAGGACCCGGACAGCAGGACCCAGAGAAAGGGGAGGGAGCCCAGGTGGGGGGATTCGCTCTTAAGTGCCAGATGACTTGGCAGGCTTTCCCCAACACTGTACTCTCTAGATGTTTTGCACAACATCTCCCAACATGCTGGGCTTAATGGGAGTTGAAGTCCAAAACATCTGGAAGGCACCAGGCTGCGGAAGGCTGCTTTTGGTGTCCAGTGGCAATGACTCAAATGCCTCCAGCTTGTAAGGCGTCCCATTTTACTCTGCCATGCTTCATCCTTGCAGTTCTGACAGGCCCTTTGGATTGCGTTCGCGTGTGTGCCGATGCACATGAACCCAGGACCTGAGCGAGCCTCCAAGAGCAGGAATCATCTAGCCACGTGCTCCTACGACTCCCCCCACCCCACGAGCCCCGGCTGTTCTGAGCCACGTGAGCCACATGGCGGCTCACGTGGCCCGGCAGGGGCGAGGCTTCAAAGCCAAAGGATGCGGCTTAGCGTCGCCACGTGACACAGCCGCTCACTCTCAATCCCGGGAACGCGAGCTCTCCCCGCGCTGCGGCAGGAGAGGCAACTGCGGCTGACGCGGCCCTCGGGAGGCGAGCGCTGCTGCAAGTCCCGCGTGAACAGCTCAACGTGAGAGGAACCGAGGCGGGCGCTTGAATGCGATAGCGGCGGCGCGGTCTAAAGAGGCCGTAGCAGAAAGAGGGGCAGGAGTGAATGCACATGGCTCCTGCAGGCTTTTCAAAAACTGGGCACATCGCTTAAAAACTGGAGTATACTGCACCATAATTTATGGCGGGTGCCTCTCTCCAAGGAATTCAGCGCACGCCCGCGCAAGATGTCTCAGGAAGTGGTCCCCACTAATTCATCGAGATTTACCCCAAAGTGCATGAAAGAGGGTTGGAGACGTTGGCAGCCCCTTCAGGGCCTAATGCTATGCGAGTTTAGGCACAAAGGCCCTGCCAAAAAACCTCCCAGTCATGAGAAGGTTTCTTAGACTTTCTCTGTCTAAATAAGGACAGGATTGCTTCTTTCACCTGCTATCTACAGAGAAATTCTCCCCTTCCAAGTCCTAACAGGCATATCCTCACAGGATTTTTTTAAACAACTCTTGCTTGCTTTTAGCGTCTTGTTACAAATGCATGGAATAACCACCCCACCGTCAACCTTTAAAAAGAAAAAGAAAAAAAATCCATCTCGTTGGAATACATGCCCTTCCTCTTTCTGTTCTTTTTGTCAAAAAATAATAGATATCAGAAACAGAACTGCAGATACATGAAGTATTGAAACACTGTGTTCATAATAAATCCTAAACATGGTGCTCTGATTGAAAAATTTGTTTTTTGGGTGTAGATTACATACAGCAGTCCCTGGTGTACGTGGGGAACTACAGGGTACTTGAAACAGGTCTCCATGTGGAAGGCTGGCACTCCATACTGGGTCCTGTGGTGTGGAAATGACAAGGATGGTCTATAATAGCAGTTACAAGAAGTGCTTCAGATTCCATAGTGCAAAGGGAATCCCTAATCATGTGAAGCCATGAATGCTAAGGGCAGCATTTACCTTTAGTCAAGCATTTGCCCAAACACTAAATCAAGCAAACAAACAGGAAGATTTTGCTTGATTAGTTAAGGCCATAGTGCAATGTCTACTCAGCAGCAAGTCCCACTGAATTCAATAGGATTTAGTCCCGATTATGTGGATAAAGGATTGTAGACCTGACCAACTTAAATTTTATACAGCCATAAAATATGTATCTGCATTAATACAGTAAGAGTATGCACTACCTTGTTTTCTGTTCAGGCAATAAACATGTGAGGAACCCTTTCCCAAACTGGTGCTCTGCAGGTATGTTAGATTACAATCTCTCAATCTAACCTGCCTTGGAAGGTTGTTGTGAAGGTTAGGTGGCATGTACTGTACCCTGAACTCCTTCAAGGAAAGGCAGGATAAAACAGTAATAAATAAATATATGATTCTTGAGGCCTAAATTCGAGCTGACATGCCTAGCCATGCAGTAGTTTTTATGAAGTACACTTTCTCCTTTCACATTACTTGTATTAATGCTGTATTCCTAATACCTTCTGTGTAACAGAAAGCCGGTAGGTTTATGTGGCTGCAAAGAGAGGGGGAGGAAAAGACAGGGATAGACAGTCATCTCTACACAGCTGCAAATCACAGTACTGAAGAGTGAAATATAAAGTTTTCATAAAACTAAGAAAACATATTGAGAATGAAATGGCAGGGGATTCCTGCCGAGGAGGAGGACAGACAGAATTCGGGAGTTGCAGTTTCACACTTAAGTGGCACGCTTAACTTTAACTTTGCTTTTATACATGTTAACTTTTAAAAATTCAAAATAGCCAAATCATACCAGGAGTGGCTGGTGTTGATGTCTTTTTTATTATTTCAGCCTGACTGTTTCTGTAATTTGCCATGAAAATGTAAAATAATGAGATATGCTGTACATCAACACCAGTGGGTGCCCTGTGATCCTTGCATAATGCAACAAATATGTTAGAACATTATATCTCTGGTGTTGATGGTGGTGTCTTGTGTTTTTGTGAAAATGTAGTGTACATGCGAGGGAAATACAATCCAACACTTCCAAAAATAGTATCCAGAGAAAAGGCATCTGGATCCCCCAAACAAGTGAATAACTGGAGACATATTAAAAGAATAATTCTGGGATCCATTGGCTCATTTTCAGAGACAGCCCACAAAGATACACTAAACTAACGCGGATTGGGTAGCATCCCCAAATTTGTTGCAACCAAAAACATGGGAAAGGATTTCTACTCTGCCAGGACCTCTCTTATCTAGGCAACTTATTTCTTGCCATGGCAATGGCAACGTGCACCGTAACTCAAGAGCCATCTCTGGTGAAGTAAGAACAGCCAGCACAACACACAACGAGAGCTTGCAAGAACGGCAGAAAAGGTGCTATCCTTACCTCGAATCACCTTGGAACCTTTATTATGGAACCTTTAATAAGCTGTGTTCCTGTACAGCGGTGGTTATTTTAAAGAGAAGCCTTCTCCTATTGTAATGTCCGGGGGAAGGGGCCACCAGTCAATTACAGTATTGGCGGAACAAAGAGAGAAGTGGGAGATAGGTTGTACCTTCAGATCTTACGGACAGCCACCAGTCTGTCCCCAGGAGTTAACAAGCCGAGCAGCAGCCAATGAGAGCCCGTGGAAAGAATAGCGGAAGCTCTTCAGTACGGCCAGAAGCCGCCCTCTTTTCCAGGGTTAAATGTGGCAGCTCCAAAGAAACACGCGCGTGATCTGTTTTACTGTGTCTGCGAAATTTAAACTGCTCGGCGCACAAGGGATAAAGACGGAAGAAGCAGCATCGGCAGCAAGATATGCAATACCTCTTTTTACAGACGCCTTTACGAACAGGAATCCACACCATCTTTTGCCTGTTCTGAGGCTAGAATCGTACGCCCGCCTGGGACCTTTAAGTCCCGGTGAATTCAGTAAGATGGAGTGATTGCAACTAGCGTGAACACAGTCCCTGTGGATTCACAGGACAAGCCTGAGAATCCACAATCTAGCAAACTGGAGTACATTTATTTTCTTCTCAGATACTTCCTCAACCCCAAATGGAGACCCAGCTCTTGTTTAAACCAGCGACCTGCAACAACTTTGTGTGAACCGAGAATCAGCTTAACTCATTATGTTTATTCTCTCAACAACCCATTTCCACCTTCTTTCCAAGCGCTGATGATCCTGCACATATTTGCTTGGGCAATTAGTCCCACGAGATTAGTGAGACGTATTACCAAATAAATACGCAAGAGTGGGCTTTTAGCGACGCAGTTCTAAACCTACCCACGAGGTCCCAGTGGGACTTGCCTCGAATAACAATCATCGGTCTTCCAACCGTCTATCCCAAACTAACAGAACTTGATTCTATTAGAACGATTCTGAACATATTTTTATTCAGAAATTAAGTCCCACTGAATTCATAGGCACTCACTCCTAGCCCTATAAATGAACGAACCATACTGGATCAGACCCACAGGTATCCCACAAACAGGCCCCAAGTGAAACTGCAACGTACAGGGAGCTGTAATCGTGGAGTTCAATTCGCTGAATTTAACTCAAAAGAATTACGCCGAAATCAGTGAGACTTACTCCTAAGTCAGTGTACATACGATTGCAGCCTTAAGCATCCCCCGCCCCTCATCAGTATATATTTACCAACTCCACGAGCCGTTCCATCTTCCTCTTTTTCTCCCTCACTTGGTACCGGGCAAACAGCTCAATGCTTAATGCAGAACCTGAACCGATTTCCGCCTCCCAAACTCGAAATGGCGCTCAAATTCTCCCTAGCTCCTTAAAAGGGCGAGCACCAACAGAGTGCAACTCGCGTCTTTGCATGTTTTCTTTGAACTAAGTCCACTAAATTTAATAGGTATGATTGAACAAGATTGCAGCAGTGAAGTCCAGTATCGGAAGCAAGCCCTACTGACAGAGCTGGAAGTCTGTCGGCCCTTAACCCATCAGAGGGAAGTTACTCTTTCTTGGGTGTAACAGGCAAATGCCGAATACGTGAAGTAGATGGTTGCGGATGGGTACAGGACAAAGGAGAGACATAGTAAAATAGGAATCGGTTATACCTTATTCATTTCAGTCACTAATGAACACATTTGTAATGCAAGATGTTACGCATCACCGGGGATGAGTGCTGTAAACTAGTCACCAAAACAAAGACCAGTGGCTGTACGCCTAATGTGAAGCCAATAACAACAATCTTGTTTGTAGATGCGTTATGCTTTCCCTTTTGACGGAGCGCGACGAACATTTCAAGCAATGCAAGTTGAGCTTGCGTTAGGCATAACTTTTCTATCTCTACGGATACTAATGGTTTTCTTATTTACATTGCGTCCTTGATACCCAAATGGCGGCTTGCAAAGGGAATCACGCGTTCGAGTTCTGGCTGCAACGTTAAATCTATTTACCTGGAAATAGGCAGCACTGAAATGAATGGGAGTTACTTCTCCAAGTAGACAGAAATATATAAACATCTCGTTTCTAGCTCAAGCCCCACAGCCAGATGTTGACATTGCCCTTTTAATTTCTTTCCGTCCAACGCCCGCCTTCTCTTTGCGCAGCTGCAATTTTGCAACTAGCTGGGGAGGGTCATGCAAAAAGATACTTCAGACATTCTCGAGAGCCCATGCCATTCCTTTAAAACGATGTTATTTGTTTGGATAATCCGAGTTGTATTCACCGCCTATCTGCCAGATGGTTCCTAGAGTGATTTACAGTGACGTACATATCGCGATAAAACCAGCACAATTGCATACAATCAAATCACAGTAATAAAAAGCTGCAGGTAAAACAGGTCTCAAGCTCGAAGTCTGAAAAGCCTGGGAACTGAAAATGGTCTTCCGTAGCCGTATGTATAACAGAAAGTGAAATCTTGGAGGAGGAGGTCCAGAAATGGAGAGACATCTGAGTGGGGTGGTGTAAATTTGTGTAATGCACTGAGCAGTGGGTTGAAATCGATGGCCTGCTTGGTTCCTTCCAACTCTACTATTCTATGAAATCGGCGCGCAACCACTGAAAAGACTCCAGGCTGACATCCATGGCATGGCATGCGATGAGGTGGCCTGCGGGAACAACTCCCTTGATTATCTCCATATGTGACCAACTTAACTTGAGTATGGGCTTCCTGCAGGACCTACGTCTCAAGTTGTGTAGTGGAGCTGTTGGTTTGAAAATTAGATGTGCTTTGGTTTTGATTTTGTTTGGTTTTTTAACAGTTGCTGTTGTAATCGACTGGGGTGATTGTTACGATGTGACCCGTTTTCTTTTTTTATAATGCAGTCATCTGAAGCTGCACAAAACTGCATCAGTTCCGTGACCTTCTCAGCATGCCATTTGATATGGAGAACCCCTTCTGTGGGGTATATGAGGTTTCTGAGGGCTGAACTAAACTGGATGAGGACTTTTTGTTTCTGGCCATTTGTTATTTGTTGTCAATAGTGTACAATTAAAGTTGTCCTTCTGGAAGGTGTCTTTGTTTGTTTTTCAAAGTTCATTATGTTGCAGAGCATGCTTTTCATTGATTCAATGCAGATTTATTATCTTAAAGTTGGAAACTTAAAATAGGCTCAGTTGATTCAAGTCAGTGGAAGGTCCCAGGTTTCTTCAGTGGAAGATCCAGTTGTGCTGGCTGGGAATAATTAGCTTGCAGTTCAACACATGTGGAGGGCACCAAATGGAAGAAGGTCAAGGGGCTCATAAGGCGGCCATCTTCCTGAAAGTGAACTAGTTTGGTTCTGTCATCATTGTCTGGACACCCGGCCACCCCCAAATTCCGTGAATGAGGTAAGTCAGTGGTATCAGAAAAGCCTCATCCTATATCATTTTACCTCAGCTTTAGCTGTGAGCTCTTTCGTGAGATAAAAGACTGAATACATTCCAGGTTTGTGGAGATCTACTCTGCCTTGTCCTCAGCTTCTTATCTAGGGTTGTGGGAACATAGCAGCAATGGCATATGACATAGAATTGTTGTATGCCTAGACTCCTTGAACCATTTCTGTGCTGAGCTTGCCAAACAGTGGTAGTAGCTTGCAGGAGTAACTAGGAGGGAGTGCACAACTGCAGTTCACAGCTGGGTAGCTGCTGCTTCCTCATTATGGAACGGGGGAGGTGGGTGTGCACTTGGCCTTACTGAACAGTCTGAACGGACATAAAACACTTCTACTGTTGAAGTTAGACAAGCCCGTTTACTTGGGGGACCGTAACCTTTTGCTGACATTTAGCACTGCTACAAAGAACATGCATCACTGGGATCAGGGAAGTATAATGCAGTCCATGCCACTTACACACACTTATCTGTCAGAACCCTACACATATACAAACTGTACCTTTATTGATTCATCTATGAACCATATTCCTGGTGGCTCTGTGCTGCCTCTAGTATCAAAGGCAGTGTGCCTATACACACCAGTTGCTGGAGAATTTGGGTGGGGGGCTGTTGTTCTCATGTCTTGCTTGTGGAATCTCATGGGCTGGTCATGGTGTAGACCAGATGTTGGATTAGAGAAAGCCTTGGTCTCATCCAGCAGGGCTGTTCTGAAGTTCTGGACCCTGCTTTTGTAGCAAATGGGCTATACAGGCTGCCTAGTGTGCGCACGTTTTATTGTTATTTTAAATGTTTTTCAACTACTCTTCACTCATTTTGCATAGGATGTTTACAAAAATATTAACATACCAATTAAAATGATAATAAAAGCTGCAGAGCACAAAAGTAGCATGAAAGGGTCATCAGAATTAAAATTGTATCTAAAAATATTTGGGGGAAATTTACTTGTCTGGGTTCAAAAGCTCAAAAAGGGTAGGCACCAGGCAAACCTCTCCAGAGAGAGTGTTTCACAAGTGGAGTGCCATCACCAAGAAGGCCATCCTCCTGATAATGTTGTGCCCCTTCCCACATGGTGGAGGAACCTGCAAGGAGCCATGCACTGAAGTTTATAATGTATGGTTAGGTATGTATTGAGACAGGCGACCTTTCAAATAGTCTTACAGGTGAATGACAGGACCTGTTGTGCTTCTAGTCTCCCCTGGGATCATTCGCTTTACATGTTTCAAATGTCCTTGGATGAAGAGTAGGACATAAGTATAACAGACTAACATCCCCTTGCTTTGTTACATATGCCAGTGTTTAGAAGAAAACCATAAGTAGTCTGTTATAATCAGGATTTTTATGGACCAGATACCTTACTTAGCTGAGAAAAGAAAAAACTAGAACTGATTCAACCTTGCAATAAAAGCCCCTTTGGATCCCCCTTCACTTGCCTGCATAGCTCTCTATCAAGCTAGCATGTCAAGTCGTCTTTGCTGAAGTATGATCTTGCAGCTGGAAGGATGACCACATGTGGAAGTGGAGCAGGGGACTGGACTCAATAGCCTTGCAGGCCCTTCCCCCTCTATTCTATTCTGTATTCTATTTGCTCACATTTTTCTGTATACTGCGCAGCAAGGTCAAGGCAGATGGCAGTTTTAAAGTGAAATTAGCAGGATGGAGGGTGCCTCAATGCATGTCTGTGCTTCTCCATGTGTGCCTCTGATGACCCAGTATCAGGCCCAAATGGACAGCGCAAGCCTGTGCACTCTTACTTGGGCGTATAGGCTAGTGAACTCTGAGGAGGTAACTAACTTTGGATAGGACTGGACAGTAAATGTGACATGATGCAGAGCTGGAGGTAGTCTGCTCTCACAATAGCATTTTTGGCAAGCATGTCACTGTTACAGGAACAGTATTTTTTAAAAGCGCCAAGTAGCTGCACTCTGCAGTGAATTATGCATTCACAAGATGATGCTCAGTGCTGAAAATGTATCTGTCCTGT